TGGAATGGTTTAAGATGCATGTCTTTGTAAGTGACAGAGCTGTCTCTGTCGTGTGATGGTTTGGTGACTGTTTGGAGAGACGGAACATGACAGCAGTGCTCTGAGTCACTGATGACTGCCATGTGCTCTGCGGCTCACGGGCGAGCACCGGCACGCTCTGAGCACTCTGAGCCGTACGGAAGGCTGCTGCAACCCCATCACATGGAGGAGAACGTTGAGGGCCTGGGAAGGGGATGGAATGTGTAGCCTGTCCCAGGCAGTGAGCATCGGGCTGGGCCTAGAGCAGAAACAGTCCCACAGCCCTCGCCACCATTCCATCTTCTAAGCTCAGTGCGCTTGAGTGCTTTCATTGCAGTGCATTTTACTTAGAGATGAAACTAGACCCCATTATGGCAGGAGGCCCCTCTGAAGGAGGCGACGGTTATGCTTTCAATTCCTATGTTTTGAGTGTCTTTGTAATTTCAGAAAGTTAATCAAAGATGAGGGGAAAGGGGACATGCACAGGAAGGGTCGAAACTCCCTAACTCTGCCCCGCTTTGCTGTGTAACCTTGCACCCATCACTTCCCCTCTCGGAGTCCTCCCTTCCTTCCTTTCACACCTACAAAGTGAGGAATTAAAATGGCACATCCCAGGAGCATTGGATCGTGGGGAGGCTGAGGTGAGAGCATGGGGGGAAATGCCCCCTGGGGAAGATGATTTGCCATCTGTGGACCACTGCTGCAGCCCCCTCAGCAGATGGCACCCACTCTCCTGATCCCACCCTTCATCCCAGAGTCTTCACAAGGTCCACAGGAGTAAGCACCAGCAACCTGACCTTACCCCCAGAGCCCTTGTTCCCACAAGACTGGAGAGGCAGGTGAGCAGGGCCATCACTGGCCATAACAAGCCAGAGCTGTGTCCATCTGTTTAATATCCCACACTGACTTCCTGGGGCTTGAACTCAGGGCCTGGACACTGTCCCTGAGCTTCTTTTGCTCAAGGCTAGCACACTACCACTTGAGCCACAGCGTAACTTCCAGCTTTTTCTGTTTACGTGATACTGGGAACCCAGGGCTTCATGAATGCTAGGCAAGCATTCTACCACTAAGCCACATTCCCAGCCCCGATCGGTGATTGTGAATGAGTGGATGAATGGCTGGCTGGATGGACTGACAGATTGACGGATGGATAGGTGGATGGATGAATTGATTGATATCAATAGATCAATGGATCTAGGGATTGATGGGCTGACAGGTTGATAGATGAATGGATGGATGAATCAATCTAGAGAGCAGTGGAGCTATGGATGGATAGATGGAATGATAATCTCATATGGGTGGGACTCCCACACTGAAAATTTCCCCTCACAAAACCAAGCTTCCTTTCCCATAAAATAATATTCACGCCAGGACTGTCTCCATTGTCTAGTGACACAAGTAAACCACCCTGACTGACACCAGGAAAGAGATGGCTCCATTTTGTTTCCTGTGTTAACCATGGGTCCTTAGCTGTGGGTGATTTTGTCAACTACTGCAAGACCTTTGGCCATGCCTGCAGTCACATCCAGTTACCATAATCAGGGAGTAGATGGAAATTTCCCACCCTCACCTAGCAGGTAGAAGCCAGTGAGGCCCTTGGCTTCCTACAGCACCCATTTTTGGCCCCAGCAAGAATAATCCAATTCAGACGTCGAAGGCATAGAATTCTCCTGCAGCCTGCAGGGTGGGCCAGAAGTGCCTGTTTTCACAAGGTGGGTTCTGGTGTGGGTGTCAAGTCCCCGGTGACCTTGTTTGGTTCCTGCTGTTCTCTGCAACCTTGGGCAGTCCTTCACCCTCTGAGACCGGACATCTCTTCTCTGGTAGTTTGTAACTGCAGTGTTGGGGGATCTTTGAGTCCTTGAGATACCGCTGTGTGCTTCTGGGGTTTATGGAGTCCAATCAGCCAACCAAGGCAGGCTTGAAAAGTCATTCCTGCAAAGTCAGAGAGGACCAGAAATAACTGCTTGATTGGAGGTTCCATAATGAGAGCCGTGGTAGTGATGGATTCGCCCAAAATACATCCATTGAGTCACCCAGCACTCAGCTTCCCAAAATTCACCACTGCTCTACAGAGAGGGGGTCAGCCCAGCCACAGAAAAGCCAGCACACAGACTTGCCCAGGCCCACACAGCCAGGGAAAGCAAAGTGCAGGACTGGAACCTAGACCCAACTCTGGAGTTCCCCATGCTCCACACCTTAGTCTGGGAAGCGAATGACCCCTCATCCTCCTACCACGTTTCCCCATCCCCCATGATGGCCTCTCCAGGTTACTGGCGGAGGTCCTGGCTGGAAATGAATGTCACACAATAGAGATTTGTTGACGCCACCAGCAAACTGTTGCAGTTGGCACAGATTAAACCTCTGCTAGCAACTCCAGGAAAGTAATAAGCCTTCCCAATGGCCGGCTCCTCAAATAAATTTAAATGACAGTGCTCGCTGCCCCGAGACTATGGCTGAGTAAGCATCCCTTTGCAGGAAATGGACAAGGACACCCAGCAGTCCAGGGTCTCTGGCCCCACGGTGGCTGTTTTCTGTGCTTGGAGCTGTCAGCAGGGTTGCTCTGACCACCCCCAGCCTCCCACAGAGGGGCCGTGATGACAAGAGCAGGGGTCAGCCATAGTGGTAGCTGGCCAGTGTCAGAGGCTCAGCATGAGGGACACGGCAGTTTGATCGCTCACACACTGCGTGACCACTGCCCTGAGTTGAGGCACAGAAGCCCCGCTTGGTGCAGATGAAACTGAGGCTCAGGAGGGAAAGCTCTTGGCCAGCGTTGGGAGAAATGGGTCTGAAAAATTACACGAAGCTGATCTCAAGCACAATCTAGGATGACAACTGCCCATCACCCATATTTTAAAGTAACTAAATGGTCTCTGACGCACCCCAGTTAAACCTAGTATTCTTTCTCTCTGACATGCATCAAAACCTTATCATACAAGAGAAATCATATTTGAACCAATGTGGTAGTGCACACCCATAATCCCAGCACTTAAGCTAAGAAAATAAATTGAGAGATTAAGACTTAGCCTGGGCTACATAGGAAGGCCTGTCTTTTAAAAGAAAAAAGAAGAAGGGAAGGAGGGAGGGAGGGAGGGAGCATACTTTGGCAGTACTGAGGTTTAAACTCAGGGCAGACTTTTTACATTTCACTCACCTCTGGCCAGGAAAAATACTTAAAATACAGATCTGTCAGCCAGGGCTATGTCGCACTATCCATCCTTTCTTGTGATGCCGACCAGGGCCGTGAGCCACAGCTCCAGTAGACCACACATCACAGAGGTTGGCAAGTGATGTTTGTGGTTGCTAGGTTACAGCTCGGTGGGCGTGGCCTATCTGATGCATTTTCAGTGTTCCAGTTTTTTTATTTTATATTTGTATTATCTTTAAGTAGCTATACAAAGCAGTTGCTATTCAACAAAGCCGTTTATGAATACAATGAGTTCTCATGCCTCTCTCCCAACCCACCCCTTTTGTCATCTTTCTTCATTTTGTAGCATATGAATTGAATTTTTGCTACACTCTCTGCCACCCTTCTCTGTTCGTCTACCCGCCTACCCTTAACCCCTACCCTACCTCTTATATCAAGTGACGTTCGTGTAGATTTTGTTGTTGTCTTGTTTTTTAACTTACTTTGTTACAGAGGTGACGTATAGAGGGATTACAGTTACATAAGTCAGGTAATGAGTACATTTCCTTTCGTACACTGTCTTCTTTCCCTCACTGTCTCCCTGTCCCTTCCTCCATCTGTACTTCTGAGTTGTACAGTTCACTTAGCACTCCATGTTTTTAAGTTGGGGTGGGTTTATCACCACATAATCCCCAAGTAACTCCAGGATTATCTGTAACTGGTTTTACTTTGCAAGCAAAACTGAGTCAGAAGGAATCCACAGAGCATTCAAGCCCTCCCCCCACCCGAGCCTGGCCGCAGCCCACACCTCCCCAGCCTTGACTCCGCTTTCCTCCACCCATACACCCTGCTCCCCTGAAAACCCTCATCTGTTCCAACTTCACCCAGGCCCCCTGGTCCCCGCTGCTTTCATGTCTCACCCTGAATCTACCTGGAGGCAATCATTGATCAAAATAGTTGTCTCATCTAAGCACTGGTGTCTCATGCCTGTAATCCTAGCTACTTAGGGGTCTGAGACCTGAGGATGGTGGTTTGAAGTCACCCTGGGCAAGAAAAACCGTGAGACTCCTATCTCCAATTAACCACCCAAAAACCTGACCTTTACCATAAAGCTGTAGCTTAAGTGGCACAGCAGCCATTAGGGACAGGGTCTAGGCTCTGAGTTCAAGCTCCAGAACCAACACACACACACACACAATTGTCTCCCACAAAGTTTGTTTTGTTTTACAGTGCTGGGGACCAGGGCTCTACCACGGAGCCAGTCTCTGCTCTAGTTTTCTCATTGAAAAAGTATCTATGACATCCAGAACCCTGAGCCAGAGCATAGAGCTTGACAAAGACAGCATAGCCTGGTCTGGGTCCTACAGCACAAGGCTTATCTGAGCCTTATGCTGTGGACAGCCTTCCCGACATGCCTGGCAGACTGCGGGGAGCCTGCTGCAGCCCTGCCACCACACAAGCTTCTCCTTCTGCATGTTTATCACACCAAATAACAAGTGTCCGCTTCCTGCCCTCCCCGCTCCTGGCCCTTATACAGCTGACTGAGCTCCAGGGTTCTCCAGTCCTCTAAAGCTGAGCGGCTCTCCCTGACATGGCTAGCCCTCACATTTAGGAGAAAGGAAGGGTGGAAAGGCAGGACTTAAAGGCAAGCCTGGTCCTCCCTCAGCTGGGCCATCATTGGAGTCTGACTGAAGGTAGACCTCCTACCCTTCAGCCCCACCTTAACTGCCATCTTTTCTCTTCTTCCCCAGGTGCTGGCCCTGAGGGAGTCACTGGTCTTTCTGACCCCTACCTCCTGCCCCCAGGAGCACTGGAAAGTGGCAGTTTGAGCCAAGAGAGTGGGGAAGCAGGATTGACCATGGCTGCTTCAAATCCTGCCCAGTCAGGGGAAGAACTGGAAGAGTTAGAGGTGGAAGGGGCCACAGCGGCCTCCGTGCACCACGAGGACCCTGAAACGGAGGCAGGCACGGAGGGCACCCTTGCTCCCAGGAAGAACCCGCCTTCTCTGAAGCAGGGGAACTCGGCCAGGAAGCAGCTGAGGCCTAAGGCCACATCCACAGTGGCCATGCCAAGGGCAGGGTCGCCCCCAGCGGTGGCTGCCAGCCTGGGGCCCCTCTCCCCCTCCACCGAGAAGCCCCACCCACCTGGGGACCCGGAGCCTGCAGTGGGCTCTGAGCTGACGTCCAAGCTGCCCCTGTGGCCGGGCAGGAAGGAAGATGCCATCCCCACAACGCCCGCCCCACTACAGATTGCCCCCTTCACCTCCCAGCCGCACGTAGCTCACACACTCCCACAGAGGCCCAGCCCGGCAGAGCCCCAGGAGACCCCTGAGGCACCCCCAGAAGATGTCAGCCCCCTGGCCCTGGGGGACAAGGACGAGAACAAGCTGACAGGGTCAGCCTCGGAGGAGAGCCAGGAGACCACCACGTCCACCATCATCACCACCACGGTCATCACCACCGAGCAGGCCCCAGGTACGAGGCCCACTGCTCCAGCACGGGGCACGGGAAGCCCGATCCCACCCCCTCTTCCACACCTGAGGCCAGCAGACACTGAGGTCCAGGCTCACAGGTCCACCTGTGTGGACCCGCTGGGCAAGCCCCTGCCCCTGAGCCCCGCAAGCCTCATGTCGGCTGCACAATCCGCCCGCTGTGTATGGGCCACTTACCTGTGAATGCAGACATCCAGGGAGTGTGCCGAGCATGGTGGTGCATGCCTGCAATCCAGCTGCTCAGGAAGTAGAGGCTGGGAGGACTGCAGTTCCAGGCCAACCAAGACAAAAGCTTACTGAGACCTCATCCCAGCATATAAGTGGAGAGTGGCGTTTCACACCAGGGGTTCCCGCCTACATGGGAAGCATGGGTTTAGGAAGATCTTGGTCCAGACTTGCCTTGGCAACACTTCAAGACCCTATCTGACAAATGGCCTAAGCAAGAAGAGCAGGGGTTGGGACTCGGTGGTGGAGTGTCTGCTTAGCAAGTGTGAGGTCCTGAGTTCACACCTCAGCACTAAACGAATGAGTGCGTGAATCCAGCAGCACCTGTGGCTGTTCTTAGCTGCAACACTTCTCCAGGCCCATTCACTCCCGAACACGCATGCATGCGTGCGTGTACACGTGTGCACACACACAGCCCCACAGGGTCTCCCATGTGAGCCTCCTTGCGTCCTAACGAGCCTGTCTCCACAGCTGTCTGCAGCGTGAGCTTCTCAGGCCCCGAGGGCTACATCGACTCCAGCGACCACCCGCCACTGCCCTCCAGCAACTTCCTCGAGTGCACGTACAACGTGACGGTCTATACTGGCTACGGGGTGGAGCTGCAGGTGAGGGGCCAGGCATCCACCTGTCCGCCTCCTCGGCGGGAACCCTCCCTCAGCCGTGCTGGCCACATCCCCGACCCATCCACGGCTCTGCCTCCTCTACCCAGGGCTATTTTGGGGTTTGAGTGGATGAGCAGGAATTCCCAACTCAGTGTTCCTTTGACATCCATTGGAATACATGGAGGATATATTGGAGGGAATTTTACTCTTTTCTTTCATTTCCAGAAGGAAGATACCTTAATACCCTGTGTATCACACACACACACACACACACACACACACACACACACACACACGCACACTGCGCCTGTCTGGCTTCCCTGTGACCCGACTACAGAGGCAGACGCACAGCCTTGGACGATGGGCCTCCATCTCTGTTGCCTCCACTGCAAACACGCAGGTCAATGTCCTTGAGTAGAAACACTTAGGAAGGAGGATGAGGCAAGCTGCTGACAGCTCCTCAGGAGAGAGAGACCCAAAAACCAGCCTTTGATTCCAGCTGCAAGATCCAACCACCAAATAACCAGCAAAAATCTGGGGTGGAGGTGTGGTTTCAACAGCAGAGTACCCGCTGAGCTGGTACAAGGCCCCGATTTTAAAAGCCAGGTAGCAGCAACACAGTTAATTTTTTTTAAAGGTGAGCCCTAGAAGCAAGCAGACCTGGGCAGCCTTTCGTTAGGGATGTATTGAGCCCTGGCTACACTCCCAGCTGTGGTCTGGGGGGGACCCCCTACCTCCCCCACCAGCTCCACAGCTGTCAGACTCTGGCCTGAGACAGCTTGGAGGATGGAAGATACCCCCCACCCCAGACACCTGCAGCCCCTCTGCCCTACATCAGGGCCTCTAGGCCTGAGGGTCTTACTGGCCTGGGGCTAGTGCAGGGACCAAGGAGGGGGCTGTTTAGGGGTGCATACTGGAGTCCCCACAGCCTCAAACACAGCCCTACACCCTCTGTCCTTCCTGCCCTGCCCATCCTAGGTGAAGAGCGTGAACCTGTCTGAGGGGGAGCTGTTGTCCATCCGCGGGGTGGACGGCCCCGCCCTCACCGTCCTGGCTAACCAGACGCTCCTGGTGGAGGGCCAGGTGGTCCGCAGCCCCACCAACACCATCTCCGTGTACTTCCGCACCTTCCAGGACGACGGCCTGGGCACCTTCCAGCTGCACTACCAGGGTAGGGCCGGGCCGGGTGGCCAGGTGGGCCCGTCCACCTCGGTTTCCCCTTCTGGCTTAACTGTTCTTATCCTCGTGCTGACAGGAACCCCACTATGATGTTGGTCAAAATCAACAGACCCTCCCCCTCCCCCGGCCCTCTTCTCAGAGGCATCCCACCCCCGCAGCCACACAGGGCCAGACCCACGGACTGTCCATGGCCACAACACGGCTGCAAGCTAGGGCATTACAGTCTAGAAGCTCCCTTCTCTGTGCATGAAAGCACAGTGCCTCCAACTTCCAGTAATGACTGGTGTTTACCGATAATTACTGAATACCCCAAGTCACACATTCTGGTGAGCAGTCGCCTCTGTGCTCTCAGGGGCAAAGCCCGGGGTTCTGTGGCCATGCTAGTTGGTTGCCAGCAGTTGCAATGGAAGGAGATGGCCGAGGCGAGGGGGGGGGGGGGCAAGGGGGGAGGTTAGTGGGACTGGGGAAGCTCCTGTGTCCGTTCAAGGTCTCAGCCCCTGAGCCACATCCTGGCTCCCCAGGGATCCGCAGACCTTTCCTCTGTAGTTTTTCTGACTCTTCTTCCTGAGTCTCCTCTCTTTTGCTTTCTTTTCCCTTCCTCCTTCCCCACTCCCCCCTTTTTATAGTAGTACTGTGGTTCCAACTCAGAACTTCCTGCTTGCTACGCAGAGCTTGGTTGATGAGCCCCATCTCCAGCTCTTTGTGCTTTAGTTATTTTTCAGACAGGATCTCCTGTAACTTCGTGCCCAAACTAGCCTTTTGAACTATGACTCTCCTACCTTTACCTCCTGACTGGCTGGGATCACAGAAATGTACCACCATGCCTGGTTTCCTCCATTGAGATGAGGTCTCTCTCACGAGCTTTTTGCTCCATCTGGCTTTGGATCATGATCCTTCTGCTCTATCTGTTGAATAGCTAGAATTATAGGCATGAGTCTCTGCCTGGCCCAGACAGGTTTCTTTTTTAATGTTTCCCTACCTTTTAAGTATCTTCCAAAGAGCTGACCCAAGGCCCTGTGTATGTACTATTTAAACAAATTCACTGACAGTGCAGCTGGCACATCTCCAGGATGATCTTGCCCCCAGAGAGAAAGAGAATGCTGCTCTGTGTCTATGTGGAGTGAGGCTCTGAGGTGGTCTGGGAACTCTTTTCACACAGTACCTCTGTCCCCTGGCTTAGGAAGGACACCCTGAGAAAAGGCCAATCTGGCAGCACCAGCACCAGCAGTCACAAAAAATACTGTCCTCACCTGTTCTCAGCACAAAGTGGCTGCCAAGGTGCGTGTTGCACACCTGCCCTCCCTCCCACATGCAGGGTGACTGTCTGCCTTTGTCTTTGCCGCAGCCTTCATGCTGAGCTGCAGTTTTCCCCGCCGGCCCGACGCGGGGGATGTGACGGTGATGGACCTGCACGCGGGTGGGCTAGCCCACTTCCACTGCCACCTGGGCTATGAGCTACAGGGCGCCAAGACACTGACCTGCATGAATGCCTCTAAACCCCACTGGAGCAGCCCGGAGCCTGTCTGCTCAGGTACGCACCCACCTCTGCTGGGCCCGCACACAGCCTGACTCTTGGTCCTGATGAGGACCGCTGTGTCCTCACCGGCACACGTTACTTACCTGGCATTCCAGTGTCAACTTGGATTTCGCTGGGAGCCCCACCATGTCGGGCATCTTGCTTCTTGTGGTTGGCTCTTAAGAGCGCTTTATATATGCTGGATACTAGGCCTTCATCATGTGCAAGATGTGCAAATAGTTCCTCCTCCTCCTCCAGCATTCTTTTCACTTCTGGTGGTGAGCTGTGATGGGAGGGAGGCATGAACTCCGATGACAGCCGGCTTAACCTCTTGCTGCTCTGGTGGCTTGGGCTTCAGCTGTGCAGCCACCATTGCTGGCAGTGCAGCGGGTATGCGCTGAGCACCCTGGAGGAGGGTGGGAATCCATGGCCCCACTCCACACATGAGGTGCTCACGGAGGTGATGTCACTAACCCACAGCCAGCAGAGAGGAGCTGGCATCACATGCCCTCTGGGGGACAGAAATGGCCTGGGAGCTGCAGGTGGCCTGGGCGACACTGTAAGACCCTGAGAGCATGTGGCTCAGGGTCACGCAGGGGCTTCTGGGATTCCAACCTGGGGAGGGGAAGGAAGAGGCCAGGAGAGGACCAAGAAGGTGAGGCTAGGGCAGGGGAGGGGCAGAAGCCGCCTGCGCACAGGTCCAGGGGTGGAGAGAGGCTGGGGAGCTTGAGGGAGCCACAGAGAACCAGTCTGGGGCTAGGGAGGAGGGCTCAAGTTGGCAGAGCACCTGAGGTAAGTGCAGCGCCTCGAGTTCAAATCCCAGTGCCACCACATAAAAAGAATACCATCTGGCTGACGCACAGCAAGGTGGCAGCACAGGAGGCCGCCCCGATCCTCCAGACGGGCTGCGCTGAGCAGGCGGCCGTGTCTGCAAAGAGCGGGGTGTAGAGCAGCCCCCCAGCCTCCTGGGCCAGCAGCTCATCAGAGGGGGACAGAGCTGAGCCATGGAAGCAGGATGACAGCTGCCATGTCGAGTGAGCAGGAGAGGAGGGACTGGCACGGTACAGGTGAAGCCAGGTGCTCCGAGAGGAGACAGGAAGTAGCATTGGGAGGCTCCTGAGCTGCATCTACCCCCTTCACTCTCAACGTGCCCCCCACAACGCAAGGTAACTAAAAATGTACATGCCAAGCCAGGTGTTGTGGCCCACACCTGTAATCCTAGCTACTCAGGAGGCTGAGATCTGGGGATCATGTTCAAGGACAACTGGAACCGAAAAGTCCGTGTGCCTCTATCGCCAAAAGAACCAGCAAAAAGCCAGGTTAGAGGTGTGACTCAGATGGTAGAGCACCAACTGAGTGATGCTGAAGGTCCTGAGTTCCAATCCAGGAAGGAAGGAAAGAAGGAAAAGGGGAAGAACAAATGTGTACCACAGGGCCCTAGGCAAAATGTGCTGGGTCTGCATATGTGTCTGAACACAGCCTTGGGCAGCACATACTCCACACGGGACATGGCCGTGCCTCCAGCTCCCCACACCACACCCACTGCTGGGCAGCAAAATCCTGTGTGGAATCACAGGGTCCTGTCAGGGTCTGCAGGAAGCTCCACGGTGAAGCACTCACCTAGCACAGCCCAGCCCACTACCAAAACATCCCGAGCTGGCCAGGCAAGTAGAGATGGCCTGTGTTAACTGAGGACCTACTGTGTGCCCTGCTGTAAGCTGCGTGTAGAGACGACGTGGGAGTGCCATGCCTTCCTGCCTTCCACCCCAGCGTGGAGTCCACTGGATTCCAGAAAACAAATGAGAGCGGATGGCAGCAAACAAGGTTGGATTGTTCCAGGACGAGCCCTGGGGGCCCTTCAGAATTTGTCTTTCTGTCTCTTTTAAACAAAGGGAAGAAATCCAATCCACGGGGCAGTGGGTCTCTCCTCCTCCCCGGTTTATTTTTTTCTCTGTGTGTGAATTAGAAAGGGATTAAGCCTCCGTTACGCTAAGAGAGATGGATGGAGTCTGGACTGGCAAATTGGAGCCAAACACAGCCATCAGCTGGCTTAACGAAGCCACAAAGGGAACCGATGAGCGTTGCCCAGAGAGGACAGACGGCCGCTGCACCCACGCGGGGCAGAGTCCTCCAGCTCCACTCCTCAGCCAGAGGGCGAAAGGCACTGGCTGCACCCTGAGCACCGGCCCTGCCAGGCAGGGCACCACACCCTTCTACCCCCTCCCCGCCCCATGATGCACCAGTTGCCAAGGAGGGAGGAGCTGTTCACCACTCTCCAGGGGTAAACGCAAGACAGCGTCCATGGCCGGCCCTAGATTCATAGCTTGAAGGGGACAATGAGGCTGGCTGACCAGAGAGGACAGTCTCCCCAGAAGGGGTGACCAGTGGTCTGGGGGTCCCCAGCATCCCTGTCATGGTCCAGGAGGACCTGCAGCACTTCCTGGCTCAGGCAGAGCACATAGCGAGCCTCCGTGGATGGCTCTTTCCTGGACAAGCACACTCCATCATTAAGTCACTCGATGAGCTCCAGACGTGGTGTGGGACCAGAGGAACGTGTTCTCATTCGATGAACATTTATGAAGGGTCCAGGCACTGCACGCATCTTCAGAGGCAATGGAATATGATGTGGTGATGATGATGGTGGGGATGATAATGGTGGTGATAACGTGTTGATGGTGGTGGCGGCGATGAGACTCAGAATGGAGCAATACATAAATGCATTCTCTTTGTAATTTTTTTTGGGTCCGGTCATGGGGCTTGAACGCTGGGCCTGGCGCTGTCCCTCAGCTCTTCAGCTCAAGGCGAGCGCTCTACCACTTGAGCCACAGCACTACTTCTGGCTTTTTTCTTTTTGCTTATGTGGTGCTGAGGAATCGAACCCAGGGCCTCAGGCATGCAAGGCAAGCGCTCTACCACTGAGCCACCTTCCCAGCCCCTCTCCTTGTAATTTTTGACAAGAGCCAGGAAAAAAGGTTGAGGCGGAAGGGTCTTGGTTCACATGGGCCCAGCCAAAAGCAGGCTGGAGTCATGGCTCAGCAGCAGAGCACTTTTGCTTCAGTGTAGACTTTTCCCTGCTCATGACCTTCATCTGTCCTTCACCTCCTTCCTCCCCGACTCTCCCTGAGAGACGCCTGCTGCCCACCACCTCTGTTCAGGCTGGGAAAATCCACCCCAGCTTTGCCTAGCCACACCTTTGCAACAGACCAGACTCCTGAGATGAAGCAGCAGCACGGGAATAGGAGACTGGACAAGGCACAAATCACTTTTTAATGTTCTTTATTAGATTTTCTTCTGTGATCCAAGCCATACAAGGTTGTAGCAAAATAAAGAAGAAGAAAGTTCCAGAGCTATGATGTGTCGACAATGAGCACAAATCACTTTTACAGCCCCCGTCTGGGCCGGTCTTTTTTAATGGCGGCATGAATGAGTATGTGGGCTGTTTTGCCCTCTGCTGCTCCGGCTCTGGCGATGGGGAGCTGTCCCTCGAACCCCGGGTGTTCGCTGGGAACCCGGTTCTCAGTGACTTGCTGGGCCCGGTGGCACCTTGTCTCAGCAGACTCTGATGCCTGGATCATCTTTCAGCCGCGACGCCCTCCTCCACAGAGCTGTGTGGGCAGCTCCAGAGCTTTCTGTGGGGCTCTCTGGGTTGGCGCTGGAGCCTGTTTTGCAAGCGTTTTGCCAGCTTGTCTCTGCAGAAGGCCATCAGCATCACATTCTGGCCGCAGCCTGCAGGGAGCGAGGCCATGGCCACGCTTTGTGGCGGTGGCCGTGATTTCATGGCCACCGAGTCCCCGTGTAAAAGCACGAACCCACTTGCTTTTCTTTTATCTTTCTTCTTTGATGAACTTCATTTGGGTACTCCCTGATAGCCATTTTATTTTTTTTCCCTTCTCATTATTGTTTGTTTTTGTCCACTCAACCCATTCCCTGCCCCTTTTTTGCTTTCACTGTTTTCTTGTAGGATAGGGGCTTGGGCATTTCCCTGCCTAGACTCTGGACCCTGCTCCTCCTACCTCCTGAGTAGCTGGGATTACAGGCATGCACAACCACACGGGCCCGTGGTGGTCATTTGATGATCAAAAGCCAAGGCAAGCAAGGCCAGGGTCATGGAACCCCCTCAACCGCAGTCAGGCCTACCACCATGCACAGAGCAGCGGGGTGTCCTGTGACCCCCCCCAAACTCTTCCCTCCCTCTCATCCCAGGTGCTGGGGTTCCCCTGGCTGAGGGGCGGAGTGGGGTCCACAGAAGAGCTGTCTCTCTGCTCTCCTCCCTCTCCCTCTCTCTCCTCACTGCCCACCGCTCTCTTTTCCACGCAGCCCCCTGTGGAGGAGCCGTGCGCAATGCCACCATCGGCCGCGTCCTCTCGCCCAGTGCCCAGGGGCACAATGGGACCCAGCTGTGCGTGTGGACCGTGGAGGCGCCCCAGGGCCAGAAGCTGCACCTGCACTTGGAGAAGCTCGCGCTGCACGGGAGGGACAGGTGACGCCCTTCTGGCAGTGAGAAGGTGGCTGGGGGTGGTGGCGTCTGGATGCAGCTGCCACTCGGGCTCCTGGAGCCCCAAAAACAGAGCTGGGGGTGGAGACGAGGCAGGCGGAGGGGCCGCGCTGGCCACACGGGAGGCCACGGGACCCAGCCTCCCCCCCCCCCCCCCCCCCCCGCCCACTGCACATGCATCCAGCACTGACCGAGCCCAACCATGAACTGACTCCAAGAAGAAGAGACAGACAGCAGGGGGCGTCAGGACCCCACCCACTGCTGCTGACGCCTCACAGCGGGCGCAGGGCTGGGCTGCCTCATGGAAAGGCTGGGCGGCTGGGCCGTGTCTGCATCTCCAGAGAACCACTTCTTCCACTCAAGAAGTGGGTCATTCCACAGAGGCCAGCCCCCATTTAGAGGCCCAGGCCTGCCCGGGAGGCTCCCAGCACCACTCCTCAGCAGCCTCAGAGTAACCCAGGGCAGGGGGTCAGGCCAGACAGCTCACGCCTGTGGTCCCAGCTACTCCGGAGTCTGAGATCTGAGGATCACAGTTTGAAACCAGGCTGGACAGAAAAGTCCAAGTGACTCTTATCTCTAGTGAACCACCAAAAAGCTGGAAGTGGCACTGTGGCTCAAGTGGTGGAGCACCAGCCTTGAATGAAAGAGCTCAGGGACAGCACCCAGGCCCTGGGATTAAATCCTCGGTGTACATACACACACAAGCGTGCACACACACACACACACACCCCATAACACAGTATTGAGTTGGGCAGGGCGGGAACTGAGACCTCCACCCTGTCCCCTCCAGGATGGCCGTGTACAGCGGGCTGAGCAACGCGTCTGCGCTCCTGTACGACTCCCTGCGTGCTCAGAGCGTGCCCTTCGAGGGCCTGCTGAGTGAGCAGAATGCCGTCCGCATCGAGTTCTCATCCCCCCAGGGCCCGGGTGCCTCTGCCTTCAACATCCGCTTCGAGGGTGAGTGGCCCAGGGGAACCCAGCCCCTGGGGGAGCCCTGGGAGGGGGGCTGGGGCTGCTAGGGACAAGAGACCCATGTCCAGGTTTGCAGATCCTGCTTTGGGGGAAGCAGGGAGCAGGGTTGACCGTCATGGGCAGAGATGAACCGGTTACACTCAGTGCTGTGCGCATGCGCCACCCTGAAACACCAGAGCTGCTCTACCCTTTGGGTTTAAGATGAGAAGACTGAGGCCTGGGGAACTTGAGGGGCTGGCCCATGGCCACCGCCGTGAGCCCTAGACTGCTAGGATCCACCAAATGTCTCCAGTTCCTCAGCCGCCTCCCCTCCAACACCCTGGCTCCTTTAATAAGCCTTGTCTGGGTGTTTGGAGGCCCAGGGGCTTTCTGGGCTGGTGTTCCCTTGGGCAGGAGACCCTGGCCACGGACTCACTCTCATGGTCCACGGCTGAAGCCTGGAGGGCTGGCTACACCTGGGATGTAGGAAGGAATGGAACACAACAGCTTTTCAGTTGGGCAGGGTAGTGCACGCCTATAATCCCAGCACCCCGGAAGCCAGGGCAGGAGGATCACAAATTTGAAGCCAGACTGGGCTACCTAGGGAGACCCTATCTCAAAAAATAACTAGAAGTAAAAACCACCTGAACACTTGGGTTCTGCAGGACCGTAGGCCAACTTTACCAGTGAAAACGCCCGAGCGCCCGCACTCCCGTGGCCGTGGAGGTGTGTCCGCAGGGATGTGGGAGGATGGGAGCCGGGCTCCTGTGGGGCCCGCTTTTCCTTGGGACTGAGCAGCCTCTGTCCCCCTCTGTGTCCACGCCCAGCCTTTGAGAAGGGCCACTGCTACGAGCCGTACATCCAGAACGGAAACTTCTCCACCTCCGACCCCACCTACAACGTGGGCGCCGTGGTGGAGTTCACCTGCGACCCCGGCCACTCGCTGGAGCAGGGCCCCGCTGTCATCGAGTGCGTGAACGTGCGGGACCCGTACTGGAACGACACAGAGCCCCTGTGCAGAGGTGAGCGCCCCGCCTCCGCCTCCACCCGCAGGGGAGATGGGGCAGCAGAGGCCCGGGCATGGGGAAATGACAGCTGGGAGCCTCCAAAAGTTGTCCCTGCAGCACGGGGTCCACAGTGCTCACAGCAGCCCCGCGCACCATCTTCATGGGACATGGCCCGGCCCACGGACACCATCCGATCTCACGCTGGTGCCCTCCCGGGAGTTTGCACAGCTTGCCCACGCAGCCCCCTGCGAGCAGGGCTTCCGTTCTCTCCGCTCTGCAGACCTGCGCCCGCCCCGCAGTCCCCGCTGGGCCCAGCTGGGGCCCCCTCGCTCCCACAGGCTCGCTTTTCCACCCAGTCCCGGGTTCAAGGCTCCGAGCCCTGCTTCCTCACCCGCAGCTGCCACAGGACGGTGGGTGGTAGGCGTGAAACGGTGATGGATTGATCCAGGAATTAAAGGCGCTGCTTTAGCAGAGTGGAATTTATTGGTGCGTTGGCCTGGGCCACATTGAGAATTTTCCAAAGCAGTGAACGCTGAGTGGATGGGAAAAGCACCGGCATGGCCTCAGCCTGGCTCCGCTCCCCTCACCTGAGTTCCAGGCATGGCATACGGTGGCAGGGGTCGGGGGGAGACCCACCAAGGCCTTGGAGAAACCAGGGCTCGGCCAAGCCCGTCACACCCCAGCCACTGTCCCGCCAAGACAAAGCTGGGCCCCGAGAAACCTCCCCTTGTCCACTCCACCCAAGTGTGGGTCCATGGGATTACCAGGGCTCCCCAAGCTCCACCCTTGGGGCCCTTGGAACCCAACTTCCATCAGTCCTTAGCCAAACAGGGAAGTCAGGCTGAGAATGGTGCCTCACTCCTACAACCTCAGCCAGAGACAGGATCATGGGGTGAGACAGGAAAAACTACTGGTGAGACCTCAACTCAACTAGTAAGCTAGGTACAGCAATGTGTACCTGTAATCTCAGCCACTTGGGAGGCAGAGATTGTGAGGCTTGAAGTATGAAGACAGCTCAGGCCAATGGTAAGACTCCATTTCTACCTATAGTTGAGATGCGGTAGTACCCCTGCCTTCCTCCCAAGCCCTGTCTGTCTGTCTGTCTGTCTCACAGCCATGTGTGGTGGGGAGCTCACAGCAGTGGCTGGAGTCGTGCTGTCCCCAAACTGGCCAGAGCCCTACGCGGAGGGCGAGGACTGCGTGTGGAGGATCCACGTGGGGGAGGAGAAGCGCATCTTCCTCGACGTGCAGTTGTGAGTGTGCAGCCCCACTCCCGCCGGGCACACCCAGCTTGCTTCCTCGGCCCCTGTTAACCAAGCACCTACTAGGGGCAAACCCCTATTAAGTAAGCACCTACTGTGTGCCAGGGACTACGTGCCTCTAAAGAAGCAGAATTTGCAAAGGCCCCATGGCAGGGCAGGGAGGAGACGGCATGGAGCACACTCTCCCTGTCCATCTCCCCTGGCTCATGCTCTCCAGCAGTCTGCCCGGAGTTCTTCTCATTCTCACTTGTATTGTTATTACAAAGGAACAGAGGGTTAGGATGGCATAAGCTAGGTAGAGTGCGTGTTTTTGGGCAGTGTCATCCATTCCCTTGTTCTTGCCCGGATTTTCCCTCCCGTCGCCGTCACAAGTTGTATAGTTCATTTCCACATCGTGTCAAACAGGTGTGGCCCAAGTTCTTTTTTTGGGGGCGGGGGGGGGGCAGTCATGGGGCCTGAACTCTGGGCCTTGGCGCTGTCCCTCAGCTCTTCAGCTCAAGGCTAGCCTAGCGCTCTACCACTTGAGCTTCAGTCCCACTTCCGGCTTTTTCTGCTTATGTGGTGCTGAGGAATCGAACCCAGGGCCTCATGCATGCAAGGCAAGCGCTCTACCACTGAGCCACCTTCCCAGCCCCCCGAGTTCTTTTCTTTTTCAGAGGCCAGCATAGCGCCTGCCATGTAGGTAGTAGGTGCTCCGGAAACGATTCTTGAATGAAAATTGGTGTGATGAGCAGACATCATCACACTGGGTCCATTTCCTGCCCTCTGTGGAGGTGACCATTAGATGTTTCACACACAAAAAAAAAAAAAAAAACACACACACACACACACACACACAACTGACCCAAACGTGAATAGTGCCTCAGGGAAGAAAGCAGGATGCATGCTGGGACTTCCCTGATGGAGACAAACCAGGCAAAGGTGGAGGGAAGTGTGTTTCCACCACAGGAGCAGCATGTGCTAAGGCCCGGAGGCAGGAAGGATGACCTTTCTTCTCTGTGATACTGAAAATATATTGAGCATGTTCTAGCCTGGGGGAAAAAGTTAGCAAGACCCCCATCTCAACCAATAACTTGAGTGTGGTGGTGTATACCTGTAATCCCAGCTACACAAGAGGCCATGCATAGAATTACAGTCTGAGCCCAGCCCTGGACACAAAGGAGAGGCCCTGTCTGAGGGCTGGAAGATGGTGGCTCACGCCTGTAATCTAGCCACTCCGGAGACTGAGATCTAGCGGACCAAAGTTCAAAAGTCAGCCCAAGCAGAAAAGCCTGTGAGACTTCATCTCCAAGTGACCACGAAACAGCTGAAGGTGGAGGCGTGGTTCAAGTGGTAAAGCGCCAGCTAAGCAAGCCCAAGGGTTCCAGCCACCTCAGATATAAGGCAGAGTTGACGTCATACTTTCTGAGCTGGGAAAAGGCGGCACAGAGGGTTGGGTGACCTCAGGGGTCCAGAGCCCTGTGCCTTGGCTGACTGCACCGGGCCCCACCTTGCTGCAGGAAAGAAAAGCAATGCAGCAGCTTCCTCGCCGTTTCTTGTCCCATGCTGGGATGGTACCTCCAGCTCCCAAGTGGCAGACCTGGCCTGCCTTCTCCCTCACCCGGGCTGTGTGCCTGGGGCCGCACTGCCCTCTGCTGGCGGCATGGAAAATTGCTCCGTGAAAGTGGGGAGACCTGTACCTATAAATCTGTGTCGCCGGATGGCAGACCCAGGGAGAGCCATGAGGATGGCTGCTCTCATCCCCTCGGGAGAGGTAAACAGGTCCACTGACTGGAAACCCAAAGCCACACGGGTCTCCTATAAACCCAAGCCGTCTGGCCAGCAGGGCCATCTGCAGCCCCTCCAGCAGCCCTCCGCTGTCTCTCCCCCGCTCTGCACCTTCCCAGCCTCGTGAGACCCCCTCACCAGAGCCAAGCCGCCCAGGCGATCACACCTGTCAGGAAGCCGCCCAGACGATCACACCTGTCAGGAAGCCGCCCAGACCATCACACCTGTCAGGAAGCCGCCCAGACCATCACACCTGTCAGGAAGCCGCCCAGACCATCACACCTGTCAAGCCGATGCTGCAGCGCATTCTGTTGCGTGTGATCGATGGCCGCAACAAACCAAGAATTCTGGCCAAGCAAGGGGAAACGTGAAGAGGCGTGGGGAGACACGTATCAAGGGGAAAGCAACGGGGCTGGAAACCGCAGGCTTTACCTGCGGTCCGACATGAGCCCCGGGTCCTTGGCAGGCCTGCGGGGACTGTGGTCTCGCCCCACAGGTGCCACCGCATTGTGTAGAATGGCAGCTCAAAGCTCAGGCTGTGGGAGGGAGCAGGGGCTTGTACCCCACCTGGTTCCCGTGTGGCTTTGGACCTCCCCTGTGAAATGGAGATGACTGAAGGGCCTTTAAATGCTTGATCCGCAGTCCACAGTGCTGTCAGCTGGGTCTGCTGTGCTAAGGTCCTGGGGCAGGGAGGGGTAGAACAAGGAGGTAGGAAGTGACCATGGCGGGGGGGGGGGGGGGTACAGGAGGGGGGGCATGGGACCTCCCCTGGACAAGGCCAAGTTGGGGAAGGGAGAATGCTGGGGAACTTGTCAGCTGGCGTGACTCGTCAGGTGTACAGGAATGACAGAAGTTCCCAGACTCAGATCCAAGAGTCTGAACCGGCATTATTCAGTGCCAGTGGGCAGCGACAGCAAGTCTAGCAAGTTCCTCGAGCACATTCTCCCAGCCCAGCCCTGATGGAGAAGTCTTGATCCTGAGAGGTTGGATGAGTGCTAGGCAGGTGAGGGAGAGACACATATACATACATGGATCGCGTGGTCGGGAGGCAGGCAGGTGGATGATAACTGACAGATAGGTAGATAGATTCACCTTGTCTAAATATCCAAGTAATAATTCATGGTGAAATGAGAACGTATCAACATGGCACTCAAATACGTGAACAGATTCACTCAGCATCAAACAAGAATGACACACCAGCCTGCAGCCTGGGCCACATCCTCTTCACAGAGCACCGGACGTCAAGACCGCGTCTCCACCTGTGCCACGCAGCGGGGACGGGGCCAGAGGTGGGCACACAGCATTCTTGAGTGTGTGTGCCAAAGCTAACCCTTCCACAAATCTGTGTGCCCAGTTTATGGGAAGGAGCTACATAGCCCAGTCACAGTTGCGATCTGTGCTACACACACACACACACACACACACACAGGAAAGCACCCACTGAGCATGCATGGCTCGTTTGAGGCCCTGTGGTGACTTACCCCCCACCTCCCCCCCCCAGCCTGAACCTGAGCCACAGCGACGTCCTCACGGTGTACGACGGCGACGAGGTCACCCCGCATATCCTGGGACAGAACCTGGGCAGCAGCGGCCCGCAGAGGCTCTACTCCTCCACGCCTGACCTCACCATCCACTTCCACTCCGACCCCGCCGGCCTCATCTTTGGGAAGGGCCAGGGCTTCATCATAAACTATGTGGGTAGGTGTTGGCTGGAGATTGGAAACCTCAGTTCCCTCCAGAAGCCACTGGAAGGTTCAGGAGGGCCCATGGAGGCCTCCAATGCATGGGTTTAGTTCATGCCTGCAGGAGCTGGGTGCTTGGGTTTGGGTTTGATTCTAGGCTGTGACTCATGGCTGTGGGGTTGAGGGCGAGTCACTGAACCGCCCTGGGCCCTGTTCAGTTATAAAGTGGGAATACTGGGGCTGGGAAGGTGGCTCGGTGGTAGAGTGCTTGCCTCGCATGCATGAAGCACCACATACACACAAAAAGCCAGAAGTGGCGCTGTGGCCCAAGTGGTAGAGTGTAGCCTCGAGCACAGAGAGGCTCAGGGACAGCATACAGGCCCTGAGTTCAAGCCCCAGGACCGGCTCCGCAAGGTGGGTGCCAGGATTGAGTACAGTGTGTGTGTGTGTGTGTGTGTGTGTGTGTGTGTGTGTGTGTGTGTGTGTGTGTGTGTGTGTGTGTGTGTGTGTGTGCGTGCGCACGCGCGTGCACAAGCACGCGCATGCGCTAGTGCAGGGGTCCTGGGTTTGAACTCACGGCCTGGGTGCTATCCCTGAGCTCTTTTGCTCAAGGCCAGCTCTCCACCCTTTGATCCACACGCCACTTTCAGCTTTTGGGGGTTCATTGTGGTCATCCTCACCGATCTCAGCCCCCCCCCCCCGCGGGAAGTGCATTGATGTCCCGTGTGCTGCGTACACGGTCCATGGGATTGGCTGACCAAGCAGCCCTCCCGTCCCCTGCCCCGTCCGCCGCTGCGGCCTCTACCCGGAGCCTGGCTGATGGGTTTTTGTTTTGTTTTTTTCTCAAAGCTCTAAAATTAGACATCCCAGTCCCGCACAGGCCCCGCAGCTGCGGGAAGCCTGGCCCGGCTCGCTGCCAAGGCAGCGGCTCCCGGAGCCCAGCGTGGCCCGCACACGGTCTGCATTGTGCAGAACCTTCCAGACCAGCTTTGGTCTCCGAGCGGCTCCACGCCCCACGCGCATGGGTGGACGCGGGGGGATTTCAGGGAGGGCCCGGGGTGACGGCAGCCCCACCGCCCGTGGGGGTGGAGAGGGCCAGGCCGCCGTCTCAGGCGCTGTCCCCCCTCTCCACAGAGGTGTCCCGGAACGACTCGTGCTCCGACCTGCCCGAGATCCAGAACGGCTGGAAGACCACGTCCCACGCGGAGCTGGTGCGCGGCGCGCGCGTCACCTACCAGTGCGACCCGGGCTACGACATCGTGGGCGGCGACACCCTGGCCTGCCAGTGGGACCTCAGCTGGAGCGGCGACCCCCCGTTCTGCGAGAAGAGTGAGCGCCGGCCGTGGGGGGGGGGCCGTCCCGGGTGGGCATCCCCCACGGTGGGACCCCTCCTCCCCCGCCCACCCATGATGGAGCCCGCAACCTCATTCGCAGCTTTCGGGGCACCTCAGGCTCTCAGGCCTTCAGGACCCTGGAAGATCATGGGATGTGAGGGGAAGGGCGGCAGCCGCCTGGAAACTGTCTCGTCTACGGGCACTTGAAAGCCCCCCTTTGAGTGCCAGGGGGAGACCACAAGGCCCTGGGTTCGAGCCCCAGGATCAGCACAGACAGTATTTTCTGTGAAGCCATCCATTGACACAAACTGTTCACACCTGCTTTTTTTTTTTTTTTTCTTTTTGCAAATCAGGTTTTGTCCGGTTGTTTCCTTTGGTTTTTGTTTTTTGGTGCTGAGGATTGACCCCATGGTGACCTTGCAGTGGCTGGGCAAGGCCTTGGCCGCTGAGGCTACCTCCCAGCCCAAATGCCAGGTTTTAACGCAGGGGCCCACACTCAACTCGGCTGACTTGGCTGGCACACTACCGCTTGAGCCACGCGTTCAGTTCCAGCATGTGGCTGGTTAATGGGAGAGAAGCGTCTTACAGACTTTGCTACCCCCGGCTATCTTCGAACGTTGATCCTCAGATCTCAGCCTCCGGAGTAGCTAGGGCTACAGGCATAAGCCACACACGCGGACCTGATGTATCTGTTTTTAATTCAGAGAGATGAATATCTTTGGGAATCACAAATGCTTTTTGATTGGCTTGTTTCTCTTTTCTCCGTGTGGCTGTTTTCACGTGAGCAGTAATGGGTGCTTTGCATGCTCAGCCTGCACAGGAGATGACTGTCGCCGCCCCTCGTGGGCGGCAGCTCGGGGGGGAGGCTCTTCCCCGGCTGAGCCTTCCACACTATTTCCTTCTCGCTGTTACAAACACTGGGGTGACTCACCCCCTAACACAGGCCTTTAGGAAACCCCCCCCCAAAAAAAGACTAAACTAAATGGAGGTCTCTTTCCTCCTGCTCTCTTCCAAATGGGTAAGTTAGGAAGCTTTCTAGATCATTCCGTGCCGATCTGACACCCTCGCGGTTTGGTTCTGTCTCCCCAGTCATGTACTGCACAGACCCCGGAGAGGTGGAGCACTCCACCCGCCTGATCTCCGACCCTGTGCTGTTGGTGGGTGCCACCATCCAGTACGCCTGCAATCCCGGCTTCGTGCTAGAGGGGAGCTCCCTGCTCACCTGCTACAGCCGCGAAACGGGGACCCCCATCTGGACGTCTCGGCTACCCCGATGTGTCTGTGAGTCATTCACTTGGGTTGAGCAAGGGTGTTCAGATCTGGCTTTGAGGGGGATCTTACCATCACCCCTTCTCCCCCATGGCTGACTCAGGCTGATCCTCTTATACTACAGTATTGAATGCCTTCGGCATCATACTAAGTCCTCTACTTAATTTCTCTCTCCTCATCCCTAAGGAGCCCTGGGAGCTTGGAGTTATTGGTGGGGGTGGGGGAGAAAGAGATAAAACCTGAGCATGGTGGTACACATCTGTAATCCCAGCTCTCAGGACCACTGGGGCAGCATCTAGAGAATTCTAGGACAGCCTGCGTGACACAAGGAAACTCTCAAAAGAACAGAAAAAAAAAAAGCAAAGAAAAAGAAACCTCCCCAAGAGAGACAGCCGGTGATCACCTCCACTCCTCACACAAGCTGCTGAGCATGGAGTGTGGATCTGAACCCAGAGCTTTTGTTGTGTCTGAGGGGTGTTGATGGGCAGCCAGCACTCACACCCGCAGCCTAAAGCAAGCGTGGAGCCTGAAAAGGAAAGCAGGCACCGTGACACACACCTGAGGCCCCGGCTAGTGAAGAGATTGAGGCCGGAGGAGCCCTTGATTCCAGGAGTTCAAAGCCAGCTCAGGCAACATAGCGAGGCCCCATCTCAAAAGAGAGAGGAGCGAGAGGAATCCAGACACAGAGGCTCAGGTCCTGAGTCAAATCACACTCTCACAGCCCTGACAGGAGGATGCAGGCACCGCAGATGGAGGCCGGCGGGGGCCATCTGACCAGCCTCTGCCAGAAGCCAGGTGAAGCCAAGGCTCCCCAAGAGGGAGACACCCTCAAGACTTAGGGTGAGCCCTAAGTTGGGGAACCCCCCGGGCACAGTGGGCCCTGTGTCTCACGCCTGTTAGCATGGGGCTGGCCTCCAGGCCTTGAGATTCCATAGAGATCAAACCCTGCTTCATCCACTCCGCCGCAGAGACCTGCAGATGAGAAGCCGAGGAGAACGCTTGTTGCCAAACCCCAATCGTGGAGATTGCATTTTTTAAAGAGAAAAGAAACGCTTTTTGCTCACAAGGGACCATCTTGAAAGACCCCTCCGGGCTGCACCAACTCCAAGAATTTCTGAGGTTTCTGAGCCACCTTTCCACAGGGCACTGTGCCCAGCATCTCAGCGACTGGCGTCTGAATGCCAGTGGAGCCGTGGGCAAGCGGGAGACGTGGGGCTCCAGGAAGCCCGGAGCACAGCAGGGGGCGGCGAGGCCACATCCTCGTCACAGAGCACCGGACGTCAAAGGCTGTTTCCACCTGTGCCACGCAGCGGGGACGGGGCCAGAGGAGGTGGCACACAGCATTCTTGAGTGTGTGTGTGCCAAAGCCAACCCTTCCACAAATCTGTGTGCCCAGTTTATGGGAAGGAGCTACATAGCCCAGTCACAGTTGCGATCTGTGCTACACACACACACACACACACACACACACACACACACACAGGAAAGCACCCACTGAGCATGCGTGGCCAAGGTGAGGAAGGGAGAATTCTGGCAGAGCTGGCACTTGGCTCCCACCCAGCAGCTACAGCCCACCCAGCCAGCACTTGTCCCCATTCTGACGGTGTATAAAAATGTGGGTTTCCCAGCGATTATTTGCTGAACAGGAATGGCAGACGCTTGCCCAGCCCCCTCCAGTATGCCAAGCCCTTCCCCGGCATCAGCACCCTTCACCCACACAGCTCTGCATGCGTGGTACCTGTGTCCAGTGGTAAAGAAAGCCCAGAGAGGATGAGTGGCTTTCCTGAGGCCACACAGCAGTAAAAGGGAGAACTCAGGTTCTCACAGAAGCCTGATGAAACCCCAAAGCATCTTTCTACTCATCCCCTCACAGCCCCGCCTGTGGGTAGAGCTTCTGCTTCACAGCCACCAGAACCTTCCACCCACCAGCCAGCGAGGCAGACAGGAAATCACAGCTCCAGGCAGCTGCCAAAAACCACACACTTTGACTCCCAGTCCATCCACCCCAGGCCATCTCAGGACAGACACGCCCTGTGCACAGACAGGAAGTCTGGGCCCTGCCTGTCGCCACCCCTTGCTGTGCTGGGCAGTCTTGAGCAAGCAGCTGGCTCACTCTGGGCCTCGGAGACGCCCGCAGTGCAAAGGAATAATCCCCTCTGACAAGTAGGGTGTGCCAGTCAGCCTTCTGCTACTGCGTCGCCCTGACCTGTGGCTAGACGCTCAGGGCGTTCTCGGGGGCTCCAGTCCACGCATGGTTGTCCATGGCTTTGGGCCAGTGCGTCATGGCAGTGGCAGGTGCTGCAGAAAAGCCACTGGCCTGGTCACAAGCAGCAAAGGGGAGGAAAGAAAGGACGGCTGCCCCCCCCCCAAGTCCTTCTGAGGCCACACCCCCACCGTCAGGCTGCGCCCCGCCCCTCTGATGGACCTCCTGAGGCCCCGCCCCTTAAAGGCTCCACCGCCTACTGGCACCTCCTTAAGGAACAACCTCAACACTTGGGCGCTTGAGAGAACATTCCAGATCCACACTCTAGCCCAGGGGGTCGGGAGCAACTCACTCATTGAATAAGTGCTCCCCCATGTTGGCCATTGAACCAGAAACACACACACCCCTGTTTGCTGGCTGACTTTTGCTAAGTTGCCTAACACTGAATGGGAAAGCTCGCTGCGTGTGGGAAAAGTACGTGGCAGCGTTTCTCTGTAACTGTTCTGGGATTGGACTCAGAGCCTTCCACTCGGGCATGCATCCCACCCGAACCACACCCCAGAGCTGTTAGCTTTAGTGATTTTTCAAATAGGGTCTTTTTTTTTTTTTGTCCAGGGCTCTTACATAACTGGGACTATAGGCATGCACCACTGTGCTCAGCCCCCTTTTTTTAACTCTTATTCTCCATTTCTGTATACTGCAACACTGATTGCACAGACCAGGGTCTCTATGCACAGGGACTTACCTCACCTTTAAATGAAATGAAGCTTACAGCAGTGAAGATGGCCGGCTCCAGTGGATCACAACTATAATCATAGTTACTCAAGAGGCTGAGATCCAGAGGGTCAGGATTCAAAACCAGACACCAAGAGACTTTATCTCCAAACGAAGCAGCGTGGTCCTTTCCATCCAGGTCTGAGCACCTGTTGCTCACTTTCTATCACCAGGGCTGGCTAGCACCAGCAGAGATATACAGTCTGCCCAGGAATGAGCTGTGGTCAGGTTACATGGAGGCAGGGACCAAACACGGTGCCAGCACACGGAAGGGCCTGGGAAATGCCGTCCTATTGCTCCATCTCCTTAATTGATAGAACACAGCTCCCAGGAACGGTTACCACTGCCCCCTGCTGGTTATTTCCCTATACTGCAGGTGCCACTGTGGATTTTGCCTCCCAGCAGGCACCATCGGACCAAGAGCCTCCTCAGGCCCAGGGAGGAGGAGGGGAAGAGAGAGGGAGGACTTCTCCTCTGTGACCCCCCCCCCCCCCCAGCTATCTGCAGGGTGGCTGCAATCACCTGATGATTGCTATGTCCCCACTACACTGAGTTCTGGGGGAATCGAAAACATGTTTTACCAGGCACTGGTAGCTCATGCCTGGAATCCTAGCTACTCAGGAGGCTGAGATCTGAGGATCGTAGTTCAAAACCAGGGAAGTTGGTGAGACTCTAATCTCCAATGAACCAACAGAAAACCGGAAGTGGCGCTGTAGCTCAAGTGATAGAGCACTTGCCTTGAGTTGAAGAGCTCAGAGACAGTGTCCTGGCCCAGAATTGACCAAGGGAGGGAAAAAAAGGCTGAGATCTGGAGGGTTGAAGTTCAAGGCCAGCCCAGGCAGAAAAGTTCACTGGGCTGTCTTGAGGCATGGTTCAAGTGGTATAGAGTGCCAGCCATGAGCAAGCGAACTAAGCAAGTGTAAAGCCCTGAGAGAGTGGGGGGAGAAGGAAAGAAGAAAGAAGGGACAAGTCAAAAGATTTATTAAAATAATGAACAGCAGGATAGTTGTCTTAGGAATATGGCAGCATTGACAGCAGTTATAAAAACAGCATTTATTGCTGGGCACTGGTGGTTCATGCCTGTAACTATTCATGAGGCTGAGATCTGAGGATCACAGTTCAAAGCCAGCCCGGGGAAGGAAAGCCTGTGAAACTCTTATCTCCAGTAAATCACCAGAAAACCGAAGTGGCCTGTGGCTCAAGTGGTAGAGTGCTCGTCTTGAGCTGAAGAGCTGAGGGACAGTGCCCAAGCCCAGAGTTAAAGCCCCACAACTGACAAAAACAAAAACAAAAAACAGCATTTATTGAGTGTTCACTGTATGCTGCTTTCCTTCGGTGCATGAACCACTTGATCTTCACAGTGGCTCAGAAAATGCCCATTTTACAGATGGGAAAACTGAGGCTTGGGGAGGCTACCTGGTGCTCACAGATGCAACCTGGGTCCCTGGGCCCTTGCCCCCTATTACCCTCCTTTGATTGAATTAACCCCGTGTTGTTCCAGAAGTATTTATGGAATGCCTGCTGTGCATCTGGGAGTTCGGGGCACAGCGATGCACTCACCTGGGCAGAAGGTCAGCAGTTTCCGCTGGAATCGTTCAGAAGAATCATTAGAACATGACCAAGTGCTGAGCCTGTGATTGACACCCGCTTACAAAACACCTTGGGAGCAGCGCTTTAGGATGCATGCCTGTAATCCCAGGAGTAGGCAAGGAGGGTCACAGGTTCAAGGCCTGTCTGGACCACATACTCCTAGAGAAAGAGCCCCCGGTTAGGTGTGTGCCTCCCGCATCCTGTCTCGTGGGCAGGGGTTACATCTGTTTAGACACCACTGACATAGGGGCTGGCGCATAATAGTTGCTCAATGAGTATTTGTAGGCTGAATAAAGATGCAAGTGTATACTCTGAAAGATGCTAGCTTTTAAACTGGCTGAGGTGGAAGATGCTCACGGCCTGAGCGTTTCCATTCTGGGAGGGAGGGGGAAGCAGTGACACCTGTGCAGCATGCAGGACGAAGTTCCCAGCACATTGGACACACTTGTGGGCAGATCCTAGGTATGGAGGGGATGGATGGATAGATAGATAGATAGATAGATAGATAGATAGATAGATAGATAGATAGATAGATAGATAGATAGATGTATTTCCCAGGACCAAGGATTGAACTTAGGGCCTCACACTTGATCAGCTTGCTTGTTCAGCTTGGTGCTCTACCACTAAAGCCATGCTTCCAGCTCTACTTTTTGCTAGTTAACTGGAAACAAAGACTTCCTGACTTTTCTGTCCAGGCTGGCTTCAAACCACAGTCCTGCCGATCTCAGCCTCCCTGAGGTGCTAGGATTACAGGTGTGAGCCACAGTACCTGTCAGCACTGAGAGCAAGGAACAGGTCTCACTCGGCCACAGGTCAGCGAGTCCCAGGAGGCGGCATGGCCAGGAGCAGCTCAGCACTGCCCACCATGCTCTGCTCCGGAGAACTTGGCGAGCCCAGAGGGAGGAGCCACAGGCCCTCCAGAGGGAAGCGCGGTCAGCAGGAGGCCGGGAGGGGCGGGAGGCAGTGGAGGCGGCCGCCAGGGCAGCCGAACCTGGACTGCAGTACCGAGGCCTCTGCACAGAGGGGTCCCCACCGGCGCAGCAGGAGCATGCAGTGACTCTGGGAGGCGGGCGTCCCCTGTGGTCACCACAGCGCCCACACAATCTCCTGAACCTGCCTAGGATCCCATGTGGAGCTGGAAGTCACCCGAAACACTGGTGGGAGCGCAGGATGGGAAGCCATACTGCCCCGCCTCAAACCGGAAGGACCAGCAGGTCAAGCAATGTGCAGCACACAACCGTGGGTGGAGAGCCCCAAAAAGCTGAAATTGGGGTAAGCAAGTGGATAGAAAACAATGTGTTTGGTGCACACAGCGGAATACCATGCAGCCCCCAAAAAGGAAGGGAATTCAAACACGTTTCACCCTCGCTGGAGCTTGTGTACGTTCTGCTTGGCGATGTTCGCCAGCCAATGAAGGACAGAGGTGTCTGAATCCATGGAAGCGGACAGGGGAGGAGAAGAAGAAATAGAGTTGTGCAGTGACTGTGGAGGTCCAGATTTTCCAGCTGGGAAGAGACCTGAGTGCAACTGCTCAGCTGTGCACATGTGGAGCAATAAGCTTCCAACGGCCAGGAGGCTAGTTTACATTTGGAGGGTTTTGTCACAAGGTAGAAGGGTTTTTTGTTTGTTTGTTGTTTCTTTTGTTGTTGTTGTTGTTATGGGGCTTGAACTCAGGGCCTGGGTGCTGTCCCTGAGCTGTTTTGCTAAAGGCTATTACTCTAATACGAGCCACAGCTCCACTTCCAGTTTTCTGGAGATCTATTGGAGAGAAGAATCTCATGGACTTTCCTTCCCCAGGTTAGCTTTGAACTGCCAGCCTCAGATCGCAGACTCCTGAGTAGCTAAGATGACAGGCGTGAGCCACCGCCACTGGTGCCCTGCTGAAAGGTTTTTTTAACCTGTTAGCATGTGCAGTCTGGGACCAGGTGGGTGCGATCAAGAGACTGGCCGCTAGATGGCAGTGTGAGCTCCCAGGTGCGTCCCAGCCCAGGGCTGCCCTCTATCCCAATAGGGCCTCCAGGAAAGAAAATGCGTTCTGTGCTGGAAGGAAAGGCTGATGGCAGCTGGCACCAAGGAGGGCTTCCAGGAGGAGGGGAATGGGAGAGGGAGAGGAGGACGAGGAGGAGGAAGTATTGGGTATTGAAGACAATACCTGGATGAGTAATGTAAACTGAGATGTAAGCTGAGAAGTGAGATTTCTAGTTCTTGATTTCACACCGTTAACTGAGCCCCTGGGGCCCACAGTGCTCCGGATTCCTATGAATTCCTGTTAGTATTCCCAAATGGACGATCTAAGAGGCTGTCACGCTTGCTAGCCGGTAAGCGGGGACACCTAGATCTGCAAAGACGCCCAGCCCCCTTCATTCCACCTTCCGTCGGGGAGAAAAGAGGCACAGATGGTGGGCATGAGTCCAGGTGGGAGGAGGGCATGCAGTTGGGGCGGGGGGAGCTGGACCCCATGATCCCCCCCCCCCCCCCCCGAGCTCACCAGGCTGCCTGTGGCTTGCGTTCCAGCGGAGGAGTCGCTGGCGTGCGACAACCCGGGGCTGCCTGAGAACGGGTACCAGATCCTGTACAAGCGGCTGTACCTGCCCGGCGAGTTCCTCACCTTCATGTGCTACGAGGGCTTCGAGCTCACCGGCGAGGTGACCATCCGCTGCATCCTGGGGCAGCCGTCCCACTGGAACGGACCCCTGCCCGTCTGCAAAGGTAAAGAGCCCGCGGGGGGCCCCGAGGGGCCGCCCCGGACCCGCTGGCTCCGGGAAGGTGGCCACCATGCTGCTGGAGACCGGAGCCCGTGTTCTGTGGCCTTCTGTGCTCACCGCTTAGAGCTCACTGTCCTTGCGGGCGAGGGTCTGTGCAGGGTTGACAGCCCAGATCTCTTCCTCTTTGGGTAAAGCCAGGGGGCCCCACCCACACGGCCTCCTCTCATCCTGATGTTCCCCAAAGGCTCGACCTCCAGACACCACCACATACGAATGTGGGCTGGGAGTAACTCAGTCAAGGCCCTGATTGCTCTCCACTGCCCCCCCTCCCCACTGTCGCGGTGGGGCAGCCTCACAAGGCCCAGCTGTCCTTGTTGGTGCATTTCGGGCTCAGCTTCCTCGAGAACTTTGAGGCCTGGGCAGGGGGAACCCACAACCATCATCTTCAATTGCCCGGGGTCAATGACAACAATCTAACATGCAGCGCAAACTCTCATCTGTAGATTTGGAGTGAAAACGAAATGAAGCTGTCCACAGTGGCTCACACTGGTAATCCCAGCTATTTGGGAGCCTGAGATCAAGGGGATTGCAGTTCAAGGGCAGCCCAGGGCAAAAAGTTTTCTTGACCCCCCCTCCCCTATCTCAATCAGTAAGCCAAGATAGCATAAATCCAAGCCCTCGGGCCCAAGCCAACTCAGTTGTTTTTTTTTAAATCAGCATCTATCTCAAAAATGAACAGGGCAAAACAGGCTTAGCGGTGGTGGGCGGAGCTCAGCAGTAGAGCACAGCTGTGTGGTAGGACAAGGCTCAGAGCCGGTGGGCATGGTTCTGTGGGGGTGTGGCTTTGTGGGGAGTGGCCAATGGGTGTGGTTTCATAAGGGTGTGGCTCCAGTGGTGGGTGTGGTTCTGTGTGGGGCGTGGTTCCGTGGTGTAACACCTGCCCAGCAGGCCTGACTTCAAACCCCAATACCTCAAAACTTGTGAAATTAGTTTTATGTAAATGTGGATTCAAAGCAGGAAAAGTTTCCCCTTGAGCTGGGTTTTGGCTGAGAGTCTTGAGCCTGCCCAGTGGTCAGTGCTCAGACCTGCATGAAGCCATAGAAGGCCGTAACCACAAGGTTAGCAGAAAAGAGGTGAGAGGCCCATCTCTGGCTTGTAAAGGCAGTGGGATGTCAGGGGTCGCTGCACCTCTGGAGGTCAGCTTGACCCCTGGACAGAGGCTCTGACAACTGTCTAATGGCATGGGCAGGGTGGGTGCTGGGTGCCAATGACCCTTGGCCAATACCTGGCAGATGGTCAGTGCTCAGGACCCATTGGTCTTGCAGCTCTGTTCCCTCTGCGTGGGGGCTTAGGAAGTCAGACTGTCCTGAAAAGTTATCTGGGATAAGTGACACCTGCCCAAAGCTGGTCACCATGCCTCATGCCTGTAATCCCAGCTACTGAGGAGGCTTGAAATCTGCAGAATCACAGTTCAAAGCCAGCCTAGGCAACAAAATGCCAGGCTGCAGGCATGTTCAAACGATAGAGCACCATCTTGAGATTCTGAGTTCAGGCTTCAATGCCAGCACCTGCACACACACACACACACACACACACACACACACACACACAGCCTCAATGCTGCAGAGCAAGGCAGCAGACATTTTCAGTGTGGCTTTGTGCAAATGGTGAACCTCCTTCACACTGACCAGTGCTTCTGTTTCTCTTTCAGTGAATCAAGATAGCTTTGAACATGCTTTAGAAGGTGAGTCCCATTCCATAATACGTTTAAAGCAATATGTTGAATTAGCAAAAATAAACAATGCCAAGGGTTTCAATATCTTTATCCAGATGGTGAAAATCATCATAAATTCTGCCTTCACACTAACCAAAAATAATTGCAAGACAAAACTGCAAGGAAACATAGTGGCCAGGTTTGCAGGCTGGAGCCCTACAGAGAATGGATGTTCTGTGGGGGTTTTTTTTTGGGGGGGGGGAGTTGTTTTTGTTTGTTTGTCTTCTTTTAGTCATGGGGCCTGAACTCTGGGCCTGGGCGCTGTCCCTCAGCTCTTCAGCTCAAGGCTAGCGCTCTACCACTTGAGCCACAGCACCACTTCCAGCTTATTCTGCTTATGCGGTGCTGAGGAATCGAACCCAAGGCCTCATGCATGCAAGGCAAGCACTCTACCACTGAGCCACCTTCCCAGCCCCAAGAATGGACCTTCTGAGGGTGCTAGTGTGGAGAGAGGAGGAGCTGGGAGCTCTGTTCAGCCACAGGGGAGCTATTCTTGGAAACTAAACCCAGGGCCAGGCCAGGTATGGTGGCTCACGCCTGTAATTCCAGCTACTCAGGAAGCAGAGGTTGGGAAGATCAAGGTACCGGGCCCACTGGGCAAAAATTAACAAGACCTCATCTCAACCACTCATCTGTGATGTGCTCATCTGTAATCCTGTTACATGGGTGCTATAGATAGGAAGAGTGTGGTCCAACGTTGGCCCTGGGCAAACATGCAAGACCCTACCTGAAAAATAACTGAATCAAAGAGGGCTGGGGGTGTGGCTCTGGGGGTAGAGCACCTGCCCAGCCAGCGAAAGCCCCGAGTTCAAACCCTGTACTCTCAACTAAAGGCAGAACCTCGCGCCACCTCCCCCTTTCTGCTGAGAGAAATGCCAGCCCTGGGCATACAATGCTTGGCCTTCCCCCCTCCTCTCCCCCCTCCTCCCCCCTCCTTTCCCCTCCTCCCCCCTCCTTTCCCCTCCTCCCCCCTCCTTCCCCCCTCCTCCCCCCTCCTGCTCTTCCCCTTCTCCTTTCCCCCCTCCTCTTCTCCTTCCTCTCTTCCCCCTCCTCCTCCCCCTCCTCCTCCCCCTCCTCCTGCTCCCCCCCTCCCCCTGCTCCTCTCCTCCCCCTCCTCCTGTTCTTCCTCCTCCTCCTCCCCCTCCTCCCTCCCCCCTCCTCCTCTCCTTCCTCCTCCCCCTCCTCCTGCTCCCCCCTCCCCCTGCCCCCCCTCCCCCTCCTCCCCTCCTCCCCCTCCTGCTCCCCCCCTCCCGCTCTTCCTCCTCCTCCCCCTCCTCCTGCTCCCCCTCCCCCTGCCCCCCCTCCCCCTCCTCCCCTCCTCCCCCTCCTGCTCCCCCACTCCCGCTCTTCCTCCTCCTCCCCCTCCTCCTGCTCCCCCCTCCCCCTGCCCCCCCTCCCCCTCCTCCCCCTCCTCCCCCCCTGCTCCCCCCCTCCCGCTCTTCCTCCTCCTCCCCCTCCTCCTGCTCCCCCTCCCCCTCCTCCCCCCTCCCCCTCCTCCCCCTCCTCCCCCCCTGCTCCCCCCCTCCCGCTCTTCCTCCTCCTCCCCTGCGGGGGGTTCTCCGGTTGGGGTGGCCGGCCGGTGACTGTCCAGAGCGCCGGCCCTGGGCCCTGACTGTGTGCGGGCGGGCGGGGCGGGGCGGGGCGCACAGGCCTGGCCTTGGCCCGGGAGAACGGCCGGCCGTTGCGGGATTCCCATAGCAGAAGGTTCTAGAGCGGGGTCCTCCGGGAGGGCGGGGAGCCCGGCGGACACGCGGGGGGTCAGCACCGCGGACAGCGCGGCGCCGGGGAGCCCGAGGCCGGGAGCCTCTCCCGCCGCTCCGGCAGAGGCCGCGCCGGGGCGGGGCGGCCCAGCCCGGAGGCGGATCCGGGCGGGCGGGGGTCGCGGTCCCCGGCCCCGCACGGGCACTCAGGGGTCGCTGTGTTCAGTAGCAGAAGCCGCAGCAGAGTCGTCGCTGGAAGGCGGGAACATGGCGCTGGCCATCTTCATCCCCGTGCTGGTCATCTCCCTGCTGCTGGGCGGGGCCTACGTCTACGTCACACGGTAGGAGCGCCCCGCGCTACGTCACACGGCGGGGTCTCCCCCACTTACCTGTCACGGTAGCCCCGCCCCCTGCATGCCCTCAACGGTAGCTCCGCCCGCCGCATTCCCTCACATGGTAGCTCCGCCCCCTGCATTCCCTCAACGGTAGCTCCGCCCGCCGCATTCCCTCACATGGTAGCTCCGCCCCCTGCATTCCCTCAACGGTAGCTCCGCCCGCCGCATTCCCTCACATGGTAGCTCCGCCCCCTGCATGCCGTCAACGGTAGCTCCGCCCACCGCATTCCCTCACATGGTAGCTCCGCCCCCTGCATTCCCTCAACGGTAGCTCCGCCCGCCGCATTCCCTCACATGGTAGCTCCGCCCCCTGCATTCCCTCAACGGTAGCTCTGCCTCCTGCCTTCCATCACATGGTAGCTCCGCTCTCTGCTTTCCATCACATGGTAGCTCCGCCCCCTGCTTTCCATCACATGGTAGCTCCGCCCCCCGCATTCCCTCAATGGTAACTCCGCCCTCTGCATTCCATCACATGGTAGCTCCGCTCTCTGCTTTCCATCACATGGTAGCTCCGCCCCCTGCATGCCCTCAAGGGTAGCTCCGCCCTCTGCATTCCATCACATGGTAGCTCCGCCCCCTGCATGCCCTCACACTAGCCCCCCTTCAGCCTGTCTCCATGCCTCAGGTGAAGGATCCTTCACATCTATCCCAGGGGACCACGCCGGAGGCAGGCAGGCACAGGAGAAAGATGATTACAAGGTTTATTAGAGGAGCCATATTTCCCCCGGAGAGGGAGCACATGGCACCCGTCCCTGTCCAGGTAGCAGGGGAGTCTGGGGGCAGGAAGTGAGGTAGGTGGGAGCTCAGGTGGGTCTGGGCGGAGAAGGAGGGCCCAGCTGTAGGACAGGAACTCTAGGGCCAGGAGGAGCTCGGGTCTGCATGGAGCTGATCACCAAAGGCGGGATCATACTAGCATCAGGCACCAGTAACAGCATTGGTCCTGGTTGAGGAGGCCCGCTCCGTCCCCCCCCCCACCTCCCTCTGGAGGCCCAGCACCGCTGGCAGGAGGGTGGGCACTGGTGCCCCAGGGGAAAGGAGTTCGGGTTCTGGGGGTGCAAACGTTAGACGCCACACTCACCCACTGAACAAATTCTGATTTCTCCGGCCCAGGCTGGCACTCAGACCTCACATTGTGAAACCCTGTGGGCACGGTCACCATCGTGGCCAGGCTCGCCCACGGCCTCCCATGGGTCCTGGGGTCTTCTGGGCTCTGGAAACCATCACCATAAAAGGGAGGCATGCCCTCGGGGGCCAGCTTGGTGGGTCACCAGCGAAGTAAGGAAAGCCTGCAGTCCAGGGAGGTGATCAGTGCAGGGAGAGGAAGGAAAAGGGGAAGGAAGAAAAGTCTGGAATAGCAGTGGTGGCTACCATGGCTAAGCAGAGTAAGAAGAGGAGTCCCCAGAGGGAGACGGCCATTGAGCAGTCTTGGAGATGATCTGAGTGACTGCAGATGGGTGAGAGAGCAGGGAAAGACTCGTGCAAAGGGCCTGAGGCCAGGGCTCCGATGCATTGCCCAGAGCTGTGCTGGAAGGAAGTGAGAGCAGGAAGACAAGTGGAAGAAACTACAAGACCCTGAACGCACAGTGACAGGCCAGCCCCAGAGGAGCCAGCGCTGACCTGGTGGCCCAGAGGAGTTCTCTAAGTTAGCAGCCTAGCATGCAATGGACATGCAATAAATACTCTGCAGTGACGGGAGACTGGAATCACCTGACAAGTAGAAACAAATCAGTCTGCCTTCCCCCAAGCGGGGGGGGGGGGGGGGGGGGTCTCGCCCTCCCCTCTTGAAGTCTCACCAGCCCATCCCCTCATCCCTCTTCCTGCCCGTCAGGTGCCGCTACTACTCCAGCCTCCGCCTGCCGCTCATGTATGCACACCCCTACAGCCAGATCACCGTGGAAACCGAGTTCGACAACCCCATCTATGAGACTGGGGTGAGTGGCATTGCATCCCCTCTCAGGGCATGGGGAGGGCAGGGATTCCATCTCACCCACCCACCCCCATGCCCCCACCATGCTGGCTGCTGGAGAAGGAGCCAGCGGTGACCCTAGCTCTATGCCACAAGCCATGCCAGGCACTGGTGCTCAAACCTGTAATCCTAGCAACTCAACTCCAGTTAACCAGCCATTTTCTTACAAGCAGGTTGGGGCGGAGCGGAATTGCTGTGCAGCAGGCAGGGCCCCGGGCAGGGACGCGGGGTGCAGCCCTGCCATGCAGAGCTGGACAGGTTGCCGTCTCTCCCTTACAGGAAACCAGGGAGTATGAGGTTTCTATCTAACGGGGGCTGTGCCCAAGCCGGACGCCCACCCGTGACAGCTCTCTGGAGACATCCACACCGGACCCGTGCCACCAGATCAACACCCAGAGCGTCTGCCGCCTTTGCTTTAGACTCTTGCGAAGAGCCACCATTTTCTTCACTGTATTTATTCTATTTAACACTGAAATGGGGTTGTCGTTGGGAGACGGTCAGGAGACAGACGACAGACTTACACGAAAAACAGAGGCTGCGAAACACCAACCACCAGCCGGCAGAGGGCGGCCGGCCGGAGCGCGCACCGCTTCAGCCTCTCAGCCCGTCCCTGACTCCGTGCAAACCTCCGGCCGCCCCAGGCTCCCGCAGACGCTTCGCTGGGCTGGAATGCAGCCAGGGCTTGGTTTTGCTCCAGAATAAACACTGCGCCCTCCTCTCCAATGTTACCAGCTTCTAGCGGGCCTCGCCCCCCTTTCCCCCGCCCCTGCCCTGCACCATGGCCCCCATGACACACCAGCATGGTCCCAGCCCGCCCGGCCTCCGCACGGCTGCAAGATGGAGACGGTGGGAGGCAAGGGGAAAAGAGCTGGGAATATGGGGGCCTTTCTGTGTGCGTGCGTGCCAGTCTTGGGGCCTGAACTCAGGGCTGCGCACTGTCCCCTGAGCTCTTTTGCTGAAGGTTAGTGCTTTACGACTTGAGCTGCAGCACCACTTCCAACTTGGAGTAGGTCATTGGAGATAAGTCTCACAGATTTTCCTGCCCCGGCTGGCTTTGAACTACGATCCTCAGATCTGAGCCTCCTGAGTCACTGAGATGACAGGTTGAGCCACCGAGGCGGCGGTGGAGGAAGATGTGGGAGGGAGCAGGGTTTAAAATGTTCTTTGTGGCCCTCCGAAGATGAGCCCGCAGAGAAGGCCAGCAGCCGGCCCTGCCCCAGGCCAGGACAGCGGATCTGTGCACAAGAGGGTGTCCAGCGTTGGGGGGGGGGATGGCTGGCTCTGAACCCCAGGCTCTGTTTCTTTGCCTGGGGTGTGTGACTTTTGAACCCGGGGGGATTTCCTGCTCTCTGGGGCCTGGGACATGGACGTGGATTTCCATGGGGAATTCACAGCGAAGCTCACTACAGACTGCACCACCTGTGGGGTGGGAAGTGGACGCGGAGGTCACCGACCCCACTGCACCCCATCACATCCTGCTATTTTGTGGGGACCCTTTTCTAAGCCCAAGTACCAAGAAAAGGCACCAGGAGACAGGGTCTGGCAGGCGTAGGGGCGGTACTGGGTAGGGTGGCTTAGATGGCCCCCAGCCATGCCCCCCCCATGGACAGCACGGGCCCACGGGCTCAATGGCACCCAGCGCCCTCTCCACGCCCTCCCGTGCTTCTAGGATTGCGTTCCACGTGCCATCAGACAAGCACAGGACCTCGCTGCCACCTTCAGTGAGGGGCAGGGGGAGTCTGTTTTGGCACTGGCTGTGGAAACTTCTAGAAGAAGATGGCAGGACATACCCCAGCTCCAGAGGAGCTGACCTGAACTCATCCACCGTGGCCTGGAAGATGAGCACCGGGGTGCGGGCTGGAGCCAGCCCCGCCGTGGGGAAAGGACCGGGACCGGGTCCGGGGCAGCCTGCCTTGGCAAGGAGAAGCCCTCCACGCGTGGCGCACAGGTCGGGGGAGAGCACCCCACTTGCTGTAAGGCCTGGCAAGACACCCAATCGCTCTTCCACGCCCGGGCCGCCGCCCGGCCCAGCCCTTGTTGGCTATGATGGATGGAAAGGGGGTGCTTTGTGGTTTGTCTTTCGGGATCCCCCCGCTCTCCTGTGGGGGGTCCGCGGTTTCTCTTGGCCCCGAGATGTACAGGGTGATTGCAAAGGCACGCTGCTGTGTTGGTTCTGCTTTTTGTCGTCTTTTCCCCTTTGAGGTCTGCGAACGCGGCCTTGTGGCGTGGAAACAGTCGCCGCGCCAGACAGGGTCGGCGGCGCTCACCGCGCAGGCGCCGGCCTCCGAGTCCACCGAGAGTCGCTGTCTTCCAGCAGGAGAACCCCAAGGCTGCCCTGGGCCTTCCCACGGCCTGGGCGGGGGGACCCCCGCAGCACACGCATCCGGAGTCACGCCGCGGCGGCCCTCCAGAGTCCACTGCGCCCGCCTCAGCTCGGAGCGCCGCCGCCTTTGGCTTTAAGTGTGTCTTTTCTCTTCTCCTTGCTGGAATCCCTCAGCCGACGCTGGCTCCCCGCAGCCCGGTTCCTGGGTTCCCACCGCGGCCTGTGCACGCGGCCCCGCTCCCCGGACAGCGCCCCCGCGCTCGGGCTGGGCTCTGCGAACTCAGCGCCGCCCGGAGGACGCCCAGCCTGCAGGCTTGGGGTGCTGGGATCGAGGAGGGGGACCGGCAGAGGACCGGGGAGCTGCAGGTGGAGCCCAGGTTGGTCGCCATGGGTGGCCCAGCACCCCCAAAAGTGGGACTGCTCCCAGGACATTTTCATTTTTCAATCATTGAACAGAATTTAGAAGAAAAAAAAAAACTCAACTTTCTAAGCTAGAGGAAGTCATTTCCACTTTGTGTACATTGATGCTAATAAAAGACGTGAAAATCAGGCGTGGACGGGTCCTTGCTACCCATCCCTGTGAGGGGGAGGGGAGGCCTGCCCGTGAAGAGGGGGGGCCCTCACCCCACTGTCAGACGGGGAAGGCGGGGCCACGGGCGTGTGGGCGGGGCCTCCACTTTGAAAAGGGTTCCCCTCCCCCAAAGAAGTACAGCTAGATAATCATTTGGGGGAAAATACATCCCCACGATGAGAAAACTTGCAGCTTTCTGGTGGTTTATTGGAGATCAGAGTCTCACGGACTTCCCTGCCCAGGCTGGCTTTGAACCGCGATCCTCAACTCTCAGCCTCCTGAGTAGCTAGGATGACAGGCGTGAACCACCAATGCCCAGCTCCAGTCTGGTTTTAAAGAGAAGCCGATCTTCCTCAACTAAGGAAACATCCGGATGGCCGGATGTGGCGTGGCCGGGCTTTGGGGGCAGAGGCCACGGCTTGGCCACAGTAGCAGGTGACTCATGCACTGGCTCCCAATGCTGAGAGCAGGCAGACTTGGCTGGTGGGACCACAAGATTCACAGCTTAAATGCTTTACAGAGGGAGATTTTCTTTCCTCCTGTCAGGTGAACCCCTGGGGTTCTGGGAAGGAGGTCCACCAGTGAGAGAAGGCCACGGCCCAGCCCTGAGGATCCATCAAGGTCTGCAAAGACATAATAAGGCACACGCAGGGCCCCAGGTGGGGGGGGGGGAAGGGGGACGGGGGGGGGAAGGGGACGGGCAAGGCCAATCAATGGTGAGGACACTGCACTAACCACCCCCCCCCCCCCCCCCCGGCACTTAGGAGCTAAAAGGAGGCTGTGTCTGCCTCAGACTTACCTTGATCTGATACCAGGTCTATTCCGCCATTCTTCCTGTTGCACTGGAGTTTCTTTTCGGGGAAAGAGTGGTTGTCAGTACTGGGGTTTGAACTCAGGTCCTTGTACTTCCACATGAGCCACACCCCTGGCCCTTTTTACTTTAGGTTGCTTCTTTATATTTTTTTGGGGGGGGGTCGTGAGGCTGGAACTCTGGGCCTGGGCGCTGTCCCTCAGCTCTTCAGCTCAAGGCTAGCGCTCTACCACTTGAGCCACAGCACCACTTTCAGGTTTCTGATGGTTTATTGGAGATAAGAGTCTCACGGACTTTCCTTCCCCGGGCTGGCTTTGAACCATGATCCTCAGATCTCAGCCTCCTGAATAGCTAGGATTACAGGCGTGAGCCACCAGCGCCCGGCTAGGTTGTTTCTTAAATAAGGATTTCTCCTTTTTTGTCTGGGCCTACCTGGAACCTGGATCCTCCCACCCACACCTCCCTTGTAGCTAAGATTACAGATGACATCACCATGCCTGGTTTATTTGCTGAGACGGGGTCTTGCTAATGTTTTACCTGGAAGGACCTAAAGCAGCCGCAGTTCTCTGTATCTCTGCCTCCTGAGTAACCGGGATTATAAGTGTGAGCCACTGTGCCTGGCTCTGGGAGCCTGCTTTGACATTATCAGTTGGTCCCGGAGATACTGACTCTGGTCTGGTTGCTAAATTTGGGTCTTGGTGACACAGATGTGACACCTTGTGTACCCCCATAAGCAAAGGATGGGGCTCGCCAGAGGGTCCCCCTGAAGCCAAGCATCCTTCCTGAATAGTTCTCTTCTTTGCCACCCCCCCCTTCTGTGACTGAAGGAGTCATTTTGAGGGAGGGTAAGGCTGAAAGCAAAGGATGATACTGATACTGTTTGTCTCTGAATCCCTGGAGTTCCTGAACCCCTGCCTCAGTTTCCTCAACCTGCCTCACCTCACAGCTCCAACATACACATTTACCCGCCTGAACTAACCCCCTACCACCCGGCGGGCAGCTCAGTAGCCCTGGGTTCAGTGCCCCGCGTCCTCCCTCCAGCTGTTCATGCTGTTGTGTGCGGGGCTGCTGCGGTGCCCGGCGGGCGGTGCGGGCATCTCTCACAGCAGGCGTTTTTAAATGTTGGTGGAAGAGATGCGTGGCAGCTGACAGATGGGCCGAGGAGGGTGGGTGTCGCCAGCCAGCAGGGCCGCTTTCGGCCAGCAGGTGGTGCCCTGCGCACGGCTCTCAGGGCCTGGCCAAGGCCATTTCCTTCCTGAGCCTCTCCAGGGTCCCTCACCTCCAGCCAACCATCCTGGCCGGAGCAGGAGCCAGAGCCCTCCCTGCCAGAGCCCTCCGCTGCACACTCGAGCTGGTGCTTTCGGGACTCTACCACCCCAGCTGCACTCACGGAAATAAAGACAAAGGACAAGCTGGGCACCAGCGGCTCACACCTTCAATCCTAGCTACTCTGGAGGCTGCGACCTGAGGATCGTGGTTCGAGGCCAGCCCCAGGCAGAAATGTTCCAAGAGACTCTGATCACTAATGAACTGGCAAAAAGCGGCCCTGGAGGTATAGTTTGAGTGGCAGAACACCAGCTATGAGTCAAACTAAATAAAAGCAGAACAGGTGCAAAGC